CTCATCCTTTACACATGCAGAACTTTTTCCTTCTCTTCAGCGTTCAGAAAAAATGACCATCTCAGATCAAAGAGTATCAAAAACCCTCAGAGATTTTAAAATTTGTGATGCTAGACACACATGACCTACAATTACTTTAACCACCCAGTCCTGTGAGCAAACTAACTGCTCAACTTTATTCTAGTTATAATTTAATAGCTTTACAATTTAAATAATACCTTTCTCCCTCAACCACTTCACTGCTTACCATCAAATCTTTATATTAGGTACTGAAATAAACAGGAAAGACTACTTGTTAGCATTAACTCCAGATGTTCAGGGGTCTACTAAAGCATTACCCAGAAATCAGGCTAACTACATTACATAGACCCAGTGCTTGCAAGAACCCTGACCCCACTTTATTCTCCTGGAATCTCCATATATTTTTATATACTCTCAAAAGACAAGGGTAGGCTCACCTTCCTACTATTGCACTGGTGGCTCAATGCATGCATTATCCCAAACTGTCCTCCATTCAGATTTAACTCCTGTGCACTAAAAGGAATCATAGAACTTGCTGAGTTGGAAGGATCATTGAGTCCAACTTCAGGCCCAGCACAGCACCATCCTCAAGAGTCACACCATGTGCCCAAGTGTTGGCCAAATGCTCCCTGAGCTCTGCCAGCCTTGGTGCTGTGACCACTGCCCTGGGGAGTCTGTTCCAGTGCCAACCACCCTCTGGGGGAAGAACCTTTTCCTAAACTCCAACCTAACCCTGCCCCAGCTTCAGCCATTCCCTCAGGTCCTGTCCCTGCTCACACAGAGCAGAGATCAGTGCCTGCCCCTCCTCTTCCTCTCATCAGGGAGTTTCAGACTGCAAGCAATCTCCCCTCAGTCTCCTCTCCCCCAGATGACCACACCAAGTGCCCTGAGCAGCTCCTCACACGGCTTCCCCTCAAGGCCCTTCAGTGGCCTCACGGCCTCCTTTGGCCACTCTCTAATAGTTCCATATCTTTCTTACACTGTGGTGCCCCAATCTGCACAAAGCACTCGAGGTGAGGCTGCCCCAGAGCAGAGCAGGACAATTCCCTCCCTGGGACTGGCAGTGCTGAGCCTGGTGCCCCCAGGACAGGGATGTCCCTCCTGGCTCCAGGGCACTGTGGATCAGATCCTGCTGGCCACCAGCCAGGACCCCCAGGGCCCTTTTTGTGCTGCTGCTTTCCAGCATCTCCTTCCCCAGCCTGCACATCCAGGGCTGCCCCATCCCAGGTGCAGAATCCAGTACTTCTCCTTGTTGGATGCAGTTAAAAAATATTGTGCAATTAGGAAAAAAAAAAAAATCAAGACAGGAATGTAGCAAAACAGTATTTGTATCAAGTCCTCAAGCAGGTTACTTGTGGCACCTCTCCCAGTAGCATGAGACAGTTTAACCAAGAAAGCAGAGACACTTGGTTTTGGTGTGAGGGAAGTTGCTCATTTTGCAGCACACAGGGAGATGAAGGCAGGAGTTTTCAGATGATCACAGTTCTCTGCACCAGAGAATTATCATTGACAGAGGCACATACAAAAGAAAAATAATGCAATGGTGAAGCCACACACAGCTGTTATATTTACATGCATAAACACATTGCACAGCCTCTGAACAGGTGAGAATCCTTGGCATCAAGGAACATTCAAGTCAGACACAGAGACACAATATGCTGAGCTGCAAGGGACTCACAAGGATTATTCAGTCCAACTCTTAGGTGAATGGCTAGTACAAGGACTAAATTCCCAACCCTGCTGCTATTAGCACCATGCCCTAACCCACACAAACAATAATATAAACACCAGAATGGTGATGACAGCAACATTAGACACATGCAAATCTTCAGTATGCAACTAAAAAAGACATGGATCACTCCTGCACTGGGGTGCCTGGCAGGGCCTGCTGGAATCAGAAGGCCTGCACTGACAGAAGCAGAACACCAAGGGCACAGTCCTGCTTAACAGTTCCACTATTATTTATTCCTAGACAACCTCTCTTAATGCAACTTTGCATAAAATACCTCATGCCTAACTTAAAGTTACAGTTAATTTTTCTTTCAGCTCAGTTCAGCCCACTATTTTATTCACTAGTGGTCTCACCTCTTCACCATGCTAGCGGCTGTCTTGCTTCTGGCCATCAGAATAGTATCAAAACTGCTGTTCTCTGTACAAGAAAATATTGCTATTGTAACAGAAGCTAAATTAAAACACTTGTGTCATGAACAAGGGCAAGAGTGTGAGAGAGTGGCAAAAAGCCAAATAAAAAGGGAGATTTGTTACTTTTCCTTCCCAAGAGGATTAAGAAAAATGTGCAAGATTTAAAAAAAAAACTGTTTCAGCCCTTTTCCCTGATGTATGACAACATGAAAGAGACCCTCCAAATCACTTCTCACAGGAGGCTATGTAAAAACCCTAGTTTCTTGCATGACTAACTTAAGAACACTGATGATGACATTGTCACCCCTTTGGATCACATCTGTCCTACAAATCATTATTTCTTACTGGCAGCCTTGCAGCACCAGTAAAACTCTGTTTAAAGTCTCACCAGGAAAAATGTAGGTGATGTAGTAACTGGTATCTTTGCTATCTCATCAGCAAAGATTAGCAGGGATTACCTCCCTTTCATTCCCCTGAGGGGTTCTTTGATGGGGTGTGTGGGAGAGGAGATTTGTCTTGCACCCCTATAAAAAGTTGTTGACTTTTGGGCATATTAATCTTTTAAAGGAGGAGGAAAGAGAAACAGTGGAGTCATAAATTTATAGAGTTACATCTCCCAGCGACCCTCTTCTTTCTTATACACATGATCATCAGAGAAGATCTGTGGGGCAGGGACCTTGTTTGCTGCAGGGCATGCAAAAGCACACAGGAGAAAGCATTTCAGTGCTGTCAGTTGTCTCAAGAATGACACAAACAAGCTTCCCTTGCATCATTACCGTCTGTAAAAATAACAAAATGAACAAAAGGGAAATAAAGAGAAGTTTCCCATGCCAACAAATTGTTCCACAAACATCTGTTGTTCCTGATCAGTGAGATTCCATGGAAGGTAGGGAAAGATTGATACTCGGGGTGCTTATATGAAAAGACAACACAGCAACCACAGACAATACAAAACTGTCAGGTGCTGCACCCAAATGCCAGACAAGGTATCAAACCCCAAAGGGGTTATCTTACTGCCCTGTCCCTTTCACAGCTCTCTAACATTGAAAATGTGAAATGTAATGTCAAACAAAAAGACAACAGAACCATTCCTGAAGTTTAAAAAATAAAGAAAATAATAAATAGTAATCCCAAACAAACAGAAAAAAAGCCCCATGAAACTCCAGTCTATGCATTAAGAGTGACAGATTAAAGACTTCATTGTTGACAGTAAGAGTGACATTTTAAGCATGGGAGAGGAAGTAAAAAGACCTTCAAAAAATCAGCAGCAACTTTCAATTACAATGAAACAACACATAAAAATAGAAGCTTAAGACTGAGGACCCTTTAATGCCCTGTGGAGTATTCAGGGACAGCAGTAAACAAGGTGCTGATATACTTTACACTGCAAACAATGTTAGTGGCAAGCCAAATGGGATGAGCCCCAAATCAGAATGAAATTTCAAGGCATGAAGTTTAAGATAAAGGACTGTAATCAAATTACACCACAAATGGGTCCATTCATCTGTAAGCATTTTAACAGAGAGCATTGAATTACAGTTTGAAATAAAACAAATTAATTTGCTTTCTATTTCTTACATATCTATTCATTATTTTCCTACTCCCAAAGAAAATTTCCCACCTTAATATAAGAATGAATGTGGGGAAAAAACTGAAATACTAATTATCAGGCAGGAAAAACAAGAAGAGTTTGAATTGTATTATTTACATTCCCATTCCTCTTTCTGAATAGCGTGAAGTCAACAAACTAAGTGAAGACAGAAGAATCTGCAATTGCAATTCAAGTTGTTTTGTGCAAAAGGCCTAGCACCTTACATACATCCAATAAACTGGCCACAGTATTTTCTACCCTCCCCCTAAATGAAAAAAAAATAGAAATAATAATTTTCACAGTGCCTTCAGTGCCTTCCACTACGTTTTTCTTTTTCCCCGAAAGCTATCACAATCCAAATTACTTAATACCACAATGTTTTAAGTGCAAGGCACGCATTGCCCCTCGTCCTCCCCCAATTTGGCAGCACTGGAAAAAGCACCTTTTAAACAAACCCGCGTGTGGAGGACCCGCTCTTTTTGTAAGTGCTGCAAGGAACAACAATCCGGGGAGGGGAGGGGGAGAAAAAAAAAAACAAAAAAACAACAAAAAGCAGAGAGAGCGAGAGAGGGGAAAAAAACAAACCCCAGCACTCCTCCTCCTCGGGCTGCTGTTGTTGCCTTTGTTGTCCGAGCCGCAGCCGGCCCGGCCGGGCCCCCCGGCCCCCACCTGTTCTCATTCATCCGGCCCGGGCGGGCAGCGGGACGCAGGAGGCGCTCCGGGGGCTGCCCTAAAGCTGGACGGGGACACCCTGAACTCCAGCGCTGATCCTCATCTCCATCCCCCCGCTCTTGGGATGGTGGGGTGTGCGTTGGGAAGACGCAGGTGGTCCCTTCACCCCCCCCAAAAAAAAAACCATCCTCTGGGAGCATCCCCCCCCTCAGCCAGCAGCCTGACTTCTGGCAAAGAGGGTGCCAGCACCCACCCCAGCACCCTGCCCCTTTGCAGGAAGGACCCCCACCCCCCAACCCCCTTGCAAAGAGGGGTGTCCTCCATCCCAGGACCCTGCTTCATTTTTTTATTCCCCCCGCAAAGAGGAGAGCACCCATCAAGCCACCCCCTTTCCAAGGAGGTTGCCCTGGTCACTCGCAAGGCAGATGCCCCCCACCCCAGCCCCTCTGAGAGAAGGGGGGTGCCCTGCCAGCCCCCAGCCCCCTAAAGCAAGGAGGATACGCCCCCAACACTCTGTCCCCTCCAAAGGACACCCCCCACCCCACCCCAGCGCTGCCCCATCCCCAGCACCTACCTCGTCTTAGAGGACAGGAAAGCAAGTTTGATTAATCCATAGGTAAACAACTGGATGCTCTCCTTGGCTATGCTGGCCACTCTGAGCCTGTGCTCTAGGATGTGCAGTTCCATCTTTTCCTCTTTCTCATTTGTAGTTCATCTATCCCTGGGGTTTATGTTGTGTTTTTGAATGGGGAGGGGGAGGGGGGGCTGTTATTGTCGGTGCCTTTTTTTTTTTTTTTTTTTTTTCCTCCCCCCTCCTCCTTTCCCTCCCCGGTTTTGTCAGTCCCTTCCCGGCTCCGGAGGCGGGAACAGAGGATGAGGGAGCAGAGGGTGCAAAAGTTGGAGCGGCGGGGGAGGCCGGCGGGGCGCGGAGCGGAGCAGCGGAGCCCGGAGAGTGCCGAGCAGCTGGTGCTCGCTGGAACAAACAACTTGCCACTCAAGCCCGGGCCGGCGCGCATGCGCCGCGCCGCGCTGCATGCTGGGCCTTGGAGTCCGCGCCACAGCCGCCGGGGCCTCCCCGCCCCTGAGGGCGCCCGCCCGGCCCCACACCCCGCCCGCCCTCAGGCGCGGTTTCCACCCGTCACTCAAAAAAAAACCAAAAAGAAATATATATCTATATATATGAAAGCATTAAAACGGGAATGGACGCTGGTAAGCACCCAGCCGGTTGGGGTGTTGTTTTGGGTTGTTTCATTTTCTTTGAACCTATCGGCTTGCTGGAAAATCTTTCCCAAGCCAAAAGCCAGCAGGAAAGAGGATTTTAGAAGTTTTCTTTAACAGCGGGGAAATACGCAAATCTTACCTTGTTGGTTCTTTCATGTGGCAGATGAAATGCGCCGCATTCTTTGTGCCTCATTCATCTGCCACACGTGACAGAAAAATGGACAAATCCTTGTCTATTTCTGTGTGCAGCAAAAATAATGTGGAAAAAATACATTGTGTGTAAGTGTTAGAGGGGTAAAATCACAGCTGTCAAGAGCATAAATCCGGCCCTGTGTGTGTTGTAGTGCTGCAAGGGTGAATGGCCTGTTTGTCCCCATTCCTGCCCCACTCCTCAGCACAAGGAGGCTGAACGGACGTGGGAAGGGATGGCCTCCAAACAGCACACCAGAAAAGGGACTGCTCCAGCAGGTTTTATCATAAAACATAAAACAGTTTTATTCGTAAAACAGGACTTAGGCAATAAGACTGATTCAGGTGCTGTGCAGGGATTCCTCTGACTTCAGATCACACTGATTCTGCTGTGAGCACACCAGCAGCACTTATCACTATGACCCTTTCCACCAAAAGATTTCAAATAACCCTTTCTGTTCTACACAGGGAAACTGAGTTGTGGGATGTGTCCAAGGGCCCAAGATGAGAGCTCAGCCAGCCAAACCCCACTCCAAGTGGCTCATCTCCCCTGCAAAGCAAGAAGAGCCTCTGCAGTTGTAAGTTGAGCTTTTCAAGGTCTGTCTTGTTACAGAAGTCCCTTGTCTGGAGACAAGCTTCCAAAAGTAGGATTTCCAAGCCCTTTCTGTTCTGTTAATTCCCATGGGATAGCTGTGTTTTTCCTCTAGACATGTCTGTTCTTACTCTGTGGCCATACACCTGAAAAACTGTCTTGATTTTCTTATATCCAAAAAGGAAAAACTTGAAATTAGAGGCATTCATATTGATAGGTTGTCAAAATCATTTAGAGGAAATGCAACCAACATGAAGTATCAAATCTCTACTTTATTTGTAAAAAGCCTTAAAAAAACCTAGTTTTTCTTCATGGACTCACAGTTCAGATGACTCTAGGCATTGCATTTTAGGAAGCTGAAGAGGGTTTTTAATCTGTTTCCACTGCCAGTTGAAGGTCTTGGACTTCAAAGCTTTGAATGTGTCTGTGCCCAGCTACAAAAAATACCTGCACCTGCATCTACCAATCACAGAGATACCTGTGTTCCCCTGGGACAATGCAGACCACAGAGTCCAGAAGGAAGCTGCCGGGGACAAAATATACACACACCTTCTTGGTTGCTTGGATCTTCCAGAGGAAATCCGACAAATGTAGCCTGAATAATTTCTAGGAAATGCTGCAAAACTTTCCACTTTTAAGGATTTTTTTCCGTCATAATCAGGACACCACTCACAACATCAACTCTTCCCCTTCTCACTTAGAGAAAAATATGTTGCCCCCCAGCAGAGCTTTCTCATCCCAGAGAATCCAGACACTCCAGGAAGGCCGCCAGGGATTATGCTATTACAGACTAATTACCACAGAAAATGCTTACATGAAACAATAAGAAAGTTAGAACAGACCCAAAGGTAAAATCAGTGGGAACCTTTTGAACAAGCAACTCATCAGAGACTTTGTTCTGCCTGCAGGGAAGGAGAAAAGGAGGCCCTGAGTTAGTCATCTCTATTTACTAAAAAAAAAAAAAAGAAAAATCAAGCCAACAAGCAAAAAAAATCCCACCCCCCAGCCCACAAAATACAAAAATACTTCTTCATTTTGTGAGTTTACATTTGGTGCTCTCCAAAATTGCAATGCCTTTTCTGGGCCCGTTCAGCTGCTACAGTTTCCTAAGTCTTCCAAAGAAGGCCTGAAGGCCTTTGAGCTAGAAATACTGACCTCATGGCTACTGTGAACCTTCACACAGTTAACTGTAGGAAGCATTAGGAAAATATAAAGCCCTACAAACACTCAATAAAATTTTCTACACATGAAAAATATGTCTAGCTCAGCACAGGCAAATTTTTCAAGAGCAGGCAACCTGGCAATTAGCCAAAATACTAATAAGGGCCCCCCTCCTCCAGCTGACATTAGTATTCAAATCTCTCTCTCCCTTGTTGCCAGGTACATCTGGGAGATTCTACTCAGGGAGCAGCCTAGAATGTGTTGTTAGTATAATATAATATATATATTATATATATATATAAATAATATATATTAGTAAATATATAATATTGTAAACATGCTATCATATTTTTTGATTACTGCAATTTCAAGATTTCCATATTTTTGCAGCTTGGGGAGACTCAGTTGGGCTCTGTTGCCCAGCCACAGAGCAAGGACCTGTTGTGCAAGATGATGTAACTGCCCATTTTTACTAAAACCAAAACTCATTCCCTGCCCACGCAGCTTGCAGTGTCAGTTACCACAGCACATGCTGGGCAGGCAGAACACAGGAATGGGAGCTTGGACAAGAACACAGGCAGAGGAGATAGCAGCAAAACAAATCTCACCAGGCTCTTTGAGTCATCTCCTGCCTGGATGGAGAGCAGAGCCATCAGAAGTAGATGAGATTTCTGGGTGTTCTGGGTCAGACACCACCCATACCACTAAGCAGAATTTGGGGGTTGAAGCCTTGAGGTCAGAGGTGGTGGGGCTTCCCCAGTAAAAAAAAAACAAAACAACTGTACTTGGACCAACAGGGACCTCTGAGCTATCTTGGCTTCTGCTTATGATCATAAGGACCTTCTAACTGGTGAGCAGTGCAAGAGCCATCTCCTGCTTGCCCTGGAGCCCTGCTTATCAGCAATGAGGCCCTCAGAAGGAACGGATTATTTTATGAAAAACTTGAATTCAAGGAGATGGTCTGCATTTTTGCCTTGAGCATTTCTCTCAGTGGCAACCAAGGTACAATTCACCAACAGTTCCCTGGGAAACTCTGCTCTTCTAAGTCTGACTTTTGTCTGAGAGCAAAATTTCTCATAAAGTACACTGAAGTTCACCATCCAAGTGTCTGCATGCAATTTGCATCAAAACCACACTGAAACACTCAACAGCAATCAGCTTTGGTAAATAGAAATTGAAAATATGTAGAAATAGTTAAGGTAAAAGGAATGTAATTATGCACTGTGACGAGCAGTTCATGAAGATCAGCACTGCACACAGAAGAAAAATAAAGGAGAATTTCTAATCATACAAGTCATCATGTTTTATGCTGTTACTACAAACTACAGCAAATATTTCAGTGTTATTTTATTTAGATGGTGGAAATTTGTTCTTAAATAATTTTTAGTTTTTTCTGATACAATGAAAAAGCCCAAAATTACCTTATTTAGTTCTCAAAGATGAAGGTATGGTAGCCTTTTCCAGATGGAATTTAACATGCAGTATCTAACTTTTTGGCAATTTAACCTCATTTTAAAAAATAAATATAGTTTAGATTAAATTATATCATATCTCATTATTTGTATGGCATTGTTGTTGGTAGAATTATGCTCTTCTTTCAAAAAGATCTGAACTTCAGCAGCATCTTGACCTCTGAGTAGAGCTTGTAACAGCTGCTAAGACCTAAAATAGTTGATAATAAAAGCCTAATGTGAATGATGTAATGGCAATACCCTGGATAAATATGCCCATGGCAAGATGAACCCAGTGTCACAGTTGTTTGTATTAGCATTTGCTTTTCCTCAGTAGATGGAACATATTAAGTTCTTAGCACATCTGTAGCTCTGGTGTGAAACCAGGGTCAGTGTGCATTTCTGGAGTGCCTTTCAGACCCAGGACATAAAGGACACAGCAATCTGTTCCAGCTCCTAAGCTGTACTTTTGAGTGCAGACTCTTTTTAAAGGTTTGAGAACTTGAGGTACCTTCAGGTCAGATTTTGACCAAAAGGGGAGCCACAACATTTCTCAGCAGCCTCAACCAGTTTGCTCTGAGATGGAAGTTACTAAGTAACTATAATTATCTGGGAACTCCTTGCTTAAGTTAAACAGGCCTTTTTGACCCAGGGACGGTAATGCTTCTTTAGACAAACAGGTAAACAAAGGCACAGACTGGCAGGCAATGATCCGAGGCCACACCATTAGTTATTATAATTTTGGAAGTGCAATTCATAGGCCACTGCTTGATCATGAGACCACCACAAGCTAGTCTGAGGAAGACAGACAGGATGGGTTTACCAGCTGCTTATACTTCAGTGACAGTTAATCTCTTAAGGAAAAAAAATCAGTTCTTTAAGAATAATCACATGTAATATATTAAAATGAAAATAAAAATCAAAAAAAAGGGTGTGTGTGGGGGAAACCTTCCCAAATGACAGTTTCTGAACTTGCTTTTGGAAAATTACTCATTTATTTAATTAAAAAGAGCGATTTATCAGACGAATTTCCTTCTAGCAACCAGAGACCTTTCAAAACTTGATTGCAGTTAATATGCCAGTGTTTCAAAGCATTTTATTCAACTATCAAGTAAGATAATGAAGACTTGAATTTACTGTTGAGGTACATAGTGGGCTGAGCAGGTGAGACACTTCATGCTCCCACGGTAGCAGGGGTGTGAATGAGACTGTGCTGTGCATCAGCTCCTCAGGGAGTCCAAGTCCTGCAGGAGAGCTGAGGGGGGCCACAGCAGTCAAAGAATGTGCAGAGGCAGCTCCACTTGTGCCCAAAGCCACATTACCCCTAACCTGAACAGCAGCAGAGAGC